AAAGTCGCCCAGAGTGGCTGGGGAAACCCAGCCAGATGGGCAGGGTATAAATAAATTATTATTATTATTATTATTATTATTATTATTATTATTATTATTATTATTTATTAAATTGATCCAGTGAGTGTTCTCTTTTCGAAAGAAGCAGGTGGAATCTCCACGGTTGCTAATAGCATAACGTTGAAAGGCTAGGCAAATATGGGGAGCCCTAGAGCATCCGCTTGGCATGCAGAATGTCCCAGGGTCAACCCCTGACATCTCCTGCAAGGGCTGGACGAAATCCCTGCCTGAAACTCTGGGGAGCTGCTGCCAGTCATTGTAGACCAGGGGTCCTCAAACTATGTCCCACGGGCCGAATCCAGCCCCCCAGGGTCGTGAATGTGGCCTGCATGGCCATTTCAGAACCCGCCAAGTGTCCGAGGCTGAAAGCATGTATAGATGGTATATTACACCGGTTAAGCTAGCAAAAATGTATAAAACATTTAATAAGTGTTGGAAATGTAAAGAAGGATCATTTTATCATATGTGGTAGGAGTGTAAGAAAGTGAAGGGTTTCTGGGAAATGATATATAATGAATTGAAGAAGATGTTGAAATTTCCTTTTGTAAAGAAACCGGAAGCCATTCTGTTAGGAATAACAGGAAGAGAAATAAATAGGAGGGATAATAAACTTTTTCAATACGCAGTAACAGCAGCAAGAATATTGATGGCCCAAAAATGGAAACAGGAGGAACTACTACCGACTCTTGAAGAATGGAGAATGAAACTTATCGACTCTGCAGAACTGGACAAATTAAATGGGAAGATTAGGTATCAACGGGACCACAAGTTCATCGAGGACTGGGGAAAATTTGTAGAATATCTGAAAAGTATATGTGATGAACAAACAACGCTAGTGGGATTTAAAGAGGCTTTGTGAAAGGTAGAGGAGTATTGTTAAACAGAAAGAGTAAAGGTAATATTAAAATGCAATATCAAATTTAGAAAATGTATAAAAATTGGAAAATACGGATGATTGGCAGAGAAGCTGATGGAAGTCCAAAAAGTTGAAATTTGTGAAAAATGTTTGATATTGGAATTTGTATAATGGAAGAATTTTAATAAAAATTATATATAAAAAAGAAAGAAAGCCTGTCGCCGTCAGCTCAGTCAGTCCCCGCACAGCACTGAGGTAAACGCCACAGGCGTGGTGGCGGCTCTACCAATGAAAGGCCAGGAGTTTCGCCTGGGGATGGGAAAGTGTTGTCTTTTGGCTTGAAGAGTGAAGTTGAGGTTCCTTACGTATACTTTAAAGGTGGGAGAAGGAGGTATAGTCCCATTTCTGTGAGTGGAGCAGAGGTCTTTCCACTCCTGTGATTTACATGCTCTGAAAGTTGGGATCTGTTTTGATATTTAAATTTTTAAAGGGTGGAGTGGAACCAGATATTGACCATCTCCTTAGCCTGGGGAGCCACATTCTGGTAGAAGGAGGCCAGGATTTGCCCCCAAGGCCTGGGATGTCCCTCCTCCCCTGCAGTAGGACTTGGAATCCAGGAGAAAACTCTTGGAATAGCCTTGCCAGGTGTTCAGGGAGGGACTCACCTGTCCCCATGTCCTTCTCTTTGCAGATGTGCTGCAAACTGTGTTAAAATGTCACATCAAGCTTTATTTACAGCGGAAAATAACAAAGAAACATGGCGTAAGCTATCTTCCACAGCCGGCTCCTCCTCGGTCAGAGTAAAAGAAAACAAAGGATGAAAGCAATTTACAGACTGACTTCCATTCTTACACAGACAGTACAGAAGGTGTAAACATGGATATCATAGTACACTAGCAATGGGAGAATGAAATACTGACAGTTTGGCCCCCAATTTGGTCCAAGACCAAAGTTAGCAACCCTTATGGTCCAGGAGTGCCAGGGACTCCGTGGTGGGGGCAGTGGGGGCCGCTTTGGCCCAGAAAGGCCCCTGACTCTGAGGCATCTTTCCTCCCGCAGGACCTCCGATGTTACGCCCTTTGGGAAAGTGGGGAGGAACAGAAACCAGCAGCCAACAGCATCCCTTCTCTGCTGGCCTTTGCCCGAAGGTTCCCCCATCTCAGAGCAAGTAGCTCTCCCTCATGGATTCAGTCCTTTCATCACTTCCATCTCCCCAAAAGGCTCCCAAGGCTACTGATCCTCTGCAGTTGAGAACAGACCTAACTGAAAAGAACGGCTTCCTCTTCTGGTGACACCAGAGAATTCTAGAAGACATTCAGCCTTTCCATAGCATTATGGATGCACAATTCCCACAGACAAGTTTCTTGGCAAGACAAGGGCCTTCGCTGGCCATAGAGTGTCCTCCTCAGCATCCCCAACGAAGGAGCTGGGTTGCAAGAGCTGCAGCTAATGGGGGGGCTGTCCTCCCCCCTCCCATCTCACCTGACAGGTAGGAAAGCAAGACCCAGAGAGAGTTGTGGCAAACCCTGAAACCAGCTTGCTCTGTGCCGGGGCCAAAGCTGCGACTAATAGAGAAGCAAGATCTGTTCGGGTGTTGATGCTGTGAGCCCCTCCGTCCTACACTCCGGTTGTTTATACGAGTAAATAAAGCTAGATATCATAAAGACGCCACAGTCTCCGCTGACTTTCGTTCCAAGGAAACCGAAGATGGGAAAGCGCCTGGGACCCCTGGAATCTCACCCCTCAGAGACTGGGGTAGTTTGCAAATACAAACACACACACAATAATTTGTGCCTGTGTTCCTAATAGATAACTAAGTGTGAAGAGCATGTCATGTGCTTTAGCAACAGCCCTCCTGGAAATAAGGAAATGCAACCCCCATTGCTGGTCAACTCAAAAAAGCAACAAGGGAATCTGCTCTGGTGTCCCATGAGGTCTGTGGGGCCCTTAAGTAGGAGGAGCCACTTTTAATAACTGAATTAAATAAATTTTAACATAATCAAACATTCAAATTACATTTTACAATTTCAATTAACACCCCCCCCCCGCCATGCGAATTCCCCCAACTTCCCTTCCTGGTTTATAACATCTCTGTTTCTTTTGCTTATAAATTTGTATTCCTTATATAATAAAATGAAGGCTATAACATTTGTCTATTCTTCTCATTTTTACCTCATAATTGCATTTTCTGTTTGTATTTGTCCATTTTAAGTGTATCACTCAAATCCTGCCAGTGAGTTCATTTCTATGCATTGTTTCTGTATATACATCTTAAAAGGTTCATAATCTTTTTTAAAGTCATTATTGTCCTTCTCTTTAAGTCTCTGAGTTAGCTTCACCATTTCAGTGTATTCCATCAACTTTTCTTGCCAGTGTTCTTTCGCTGCTTTTTCATTGCCTTTTCATTTTGAGCTAGTAAAATTCTGTTGTCACATACATGAAGGGAATTTCCTTATCTTTTGGTAAATTCTTCCCTAAAGTACCTAATAAAAATGCTTCTGATCTTTTAACAAAGGTTATCTTAAAACATTTTTTTATTTCATTATAGATAATCTCCCAATAGGTGGAGCCAGGTGGGCCCAGGTCCAGGTAAGGGGGGTTGCCATGGTGACAAGGACCACAGGCGGCCATTTTGGGTTAGTAGTGAGGTGAGTGGAGGAGAGAGCAGTTGGTGGCAGTTGACGGAGGACAAGGCGAGGCAAACAGTGGATTCTTATTTTCTCAGTTTCTTATTTCGCTTCTTATTTCATTTATTACTTATTTATTTATTTTTTATTTATTTCATTTGTTCTTCTATGTGTGTTGCCAGTAGACGCCACAATTCTGTGCGTACTCTAGGTGGTGCAGAAAGCGCCTAGAAGCTCCCAAGAGGTTGAAGTGCCAATCAAACTTCAGTTTTGGGCTCTTTAAATTCCAAGTAGCAGTACTGGGGGGGGGGGTTCAGATTCTGGGGCAGTCCTTTTGTCCAGCAGAGGGTGTCACAGGGCCAGCCTACTTTCCCTTTAAAGCAAACTTGGGTCTCCAGCTGGTTTTGGACTACGGCTCCCATCATCCCTAGCTAGCAGGACCAATAAGGAGGGATGATGGGAGCTGTAGTCCGGGAGCTGCTGGGGACCCAAGTTTGGGAAAGCCTCTTTTAAAGAAACTTTTGTGTTTTGCCCGGAAAGATGGGACCTGCCCACGTTTGTATTTTCTTGTATTTTGTTTTCTTCGTGACCTTTGTGCGTTTATTTTTTTATTTTTTAAGAGGGCAAATTGAAAGAGAAATTGTATGGCAAGTTGCAGAAGAATAAAAGGTTGCGTTTGGAAAAAAAACCAAAATAACCTGGGAGGTGGCCTTGTGGCGACCACACAGGGTCCCCAGACATTTGATGGTCTATTGATCCCTGTGCCATCACTGTGATCGCTTCCCCGCTGCCACCAACCCATTTCTCTTGGGTACACACTGAGTCCAGACAGTTGTTAACATTAAACCAAATAAACAAGTTTATCTTATAAGCATTAACAAGTTTATGGTTTCAGATAATTAACCTTAGTTTCTTTACTGGCCTATACCTTCCTAATACCTTCTAACTGATTATCCCAGCTGTTTAACTGACTCCTCTTCACAGATTCTCTCCCTCTCTCATATTAGACTAGCCCAACCCACAGACTTATCCTCCCTCTCCCTTCTCTAACTCCAGACTCACTTCCTAACAACTCTAAGTCCTCCCCTTGGGTTCCTATTGGTTAATCATTTTACACTTAGTTAACCCTTTCCTTATGACCCAGTATGATGTCACACGCCTAGGAGGGCAAACCCCACAGGCCGCCTTAAATATTTTATGCGGGGGGGGGGGAGACGCCTAGGTCTTTAAGCATTGGTGCCTATTCCTACACCTACAGGTCTCAGGATGGTTACAACATACAAACACAAAACACCAGATGTTAAAAAGGCATTAGATGTCAATCAGCCAAACGCCAGGTAATAAAGGTGCGGATTTCTTGGCTCCTAAAGCTGTATAATGGTTTCCCCGACTTTTGTATGGATTCTTTTATGGGAAGTGAGTTGGTCCTTCTTCCTGAAGCTCTTTCCACATTCTACACAGTGATAAGGTTTCTCCCCTGTATGAACTCTTTGATGGGAAGTGAGACTATGGCTGTGATTGAAGCTTTTTCCACATTCTACACACTGATAGGGTTTCTCCCCTGTATGAATTCGCTTATGGGAAGTGAGACTGGAGCTGTGACTGAAGCTTTTTCCACATTCCACACACTGATAGGGTTTCTCCCCTGTATAAATTCTTTGATGGCAAGTGAGTTGGTCCTTCTTCCTGAAGCTCTTTCCACATTCCACACACTGATAGGGTTTCTCCCCTGTATGAACTCTTTGATGGGAAGTGAGATTGGAGCTCTTCCTGAAGCTCTTTCCACATTCCACACATTCATAGGGTTTCTCCCCTGTATGAACTGTGTGATGGGAAGTGAGACTCTGGCTGTGACTAAAGCTCTTTCCACATTCCATGCACTGATAGCGTTTCTCCCCTGTATGAATTATTTGATGGGAAGTGAGATGGGAGCTCTTCCTGAAGCTCTTTCCACATTCCACACATTCATAGGGTTTCTCCCCTGTATGAACTGTGTGATGGGAAGTGAGACTGTGGCTGTGACTGAAGCTCTTTCCCCATTCAAAGCACTGATAGCGTTTCTCCCCTGTATGAATTATTTGATGGCAAATGAGATGGGAGCTCTGACTGAAGCTTTTTCCACATTCCATACACTGATAGGGTTTCTCCCCTGTATGAATTCTTTGATGGCAAGTGAGATCACCGCTCTTCCTGAAGCTCTTTCCACATTCTATACACTGATAGGGTTTTTCCCCTGTATGATTTCGCTTATGGGAAGTGAGACTGGAGCTGTGACTGAAGCTCTTTCCACATTCTACACACTGATAGGGTTTCTCCCCTGTATGAATTCGCTTATGGGAAGTGAGACTGAAGCTGTGACTGAAGCTCTTTCCACATTCTACACACTGATAGGGTTTCTCCCCTGTATGAATTCGCTTATGGGAAGTGAGACTGAAGCTTTGACTGAAGCTCTTTCCACATTCTACACACTGATAGGGTTTCTCACCTGTATGAATTCTTTGATGAAATGTGAGAATGTCCTTCCTCCTGAAGCTCTTTCCACATTCCACACACTGATAGGGTTTCTCCCCTGTATGAATTCTTTGATGGGAAGTAAGACTGCCCTTCTTACTGAAGCTCTTTCCACATTCCCCACACTGATATGGTTTCTTTCCAATGAGATTTTGTTGATGGGAAGTGGAATGGGAGCTCTGACTGCAGCTTTCTCCACACTCTAAATTTTTACGTGGCTTCTCCACTCTGGGGATTTTATCTTGGTCACCTTTGTTCTCAATTTCCGATTCATCAGAATCTGCAATGGAGACAAAAAGCGGTTAGACACTCATGAACAAATGGAGAAGAACTGAAGGGAGCTGGGGGGGGTGTTCATTACCTGTGTTGTTTGTCATTAACCAACATATTTATTATGAGATTCTGATGTGTTTTTGAATGTTACTTTGTTTGATATACAGTAGTGGTCAAAATTGTGGAAGCCTTTTGGAGAAAAGTGTATGTCAGAGGTTTGATGGCTCAAAACTCTGCTTCTTTTGGAGTAATATTATAAAATTATATATCAATGGAAGGATAATTTAATCAAGAATGTAATTCAACAAAGTTTGCTTAATTATCCATATTCTATGAAACATTATAGCCAAATAACCAGAAAAAGGAAGCACAACTTGCTTAGGTTGACTTATGTCAGTGTGTTACGTGATTGCTAACAAGTTGGTTGGTTTTCTGTCTTCTTTCATTTAGTGAGGTTGAAAAACATAATAAAATTATAGAAATGGCACAAAGAGTTGACTGGTCACCCAGAAAGCGATGTAAAATTGTACTATTACCTGAACAGGGCTACAGTTATGAAGAAATTAGAATAAAGATTGGGGAAAACTTAACCAAAGCTGCATTTCTATATTTTTGGGAAGAGGTATAAGGAGACTCAGTGACTACAAAATCAGACCGGTAAAGGCAGGAAAAGGTGCAGAAAGCAAGTGACGATCGAAGAATGGAGAGACTGTCCCTACATGACAGAAGAATATTAACTGGTGTATACAAAGATGACATGCGGCAATGTAATGTGAAGTTGAGTGCAAGGACTGGTCTAAATGTTAGAGTTCTAAGGAAAAAGCCATTGCTATCTCTCAAGCAAGCTTGAAAAGACAGAAGGGAAGGAGGAGGAGAGGAGGAGGAGGGAGAGGAGGAGGAGGAGGAGGAGGAGGAGGAGGAGAGTTTGGATTGAAGCAGGAAACCTTTCACTCCCTTCAGGAGTCTCAAAGCGGCTAACGGCAGATCTCCTCCACTACATATCCCACCTTTCACTCCCCTTCAGGAGTTCAAAGCGGCTAACAATCTCCTTTCCCTTCCTCCCCCACAACAAACACTCTGTGAGGTGAGTGGGGGCTGAAGAAGAAGTGTGACTGGCCCAAGCTCACTCAGCAGCTGCATGTGGAGGAGTGGAGACGCGAACCCGGTTCACCAGATTACGAGTCTACGGCTCTTAACCACTACACCACGCCATGACTAAAACCCTTGTTAACTGGACAGTGGAACAATGGGACAGTGTTATTTGGAGGGATGAGAGCCAAATCTCCTTGCTTGGTAGTGATGGCATGAAATACGCGAGGAGAAGAATCAGAGAAGATTTACATCCTATTTGCATTACACTGACCGTGAAACACCCAGATAGTGTGATGATTTGGGGTTGTATGGCAGCAAAAGGTGTGGGCAGAATTTGTGTCATTAATGGGAATGTAAATGCCCCAGAATACATAAATGAAATACTTTAGCCCAAACTGAAGTGTTCCGCAGGTGATCTTTCAGAGATACTGAAGCATATTTATTTATTTATTTTTCTATTTCAACAGGACTCAGCTCCATGTCATGTTGCTGCTGTGTGCAAACGGTGCTTTCAAGATAATCTTATTCCACTGCCGTAAGGGCCTGGGAATAGCCCAAACATTAACCCAATCAGAAATCTATGGAGCCAACTAAAGAAAATTCTTTGTTAGAAGCAATCCAGCAATAAAGCCCAATTAACAGAGGCAATAATTCAGTCTTGGTTTCACATTCTTACAGGGGCAGAACTAAAAATTTGGTTCACTTCATGGGAAGGCGTTGTGAGGCCGTAATTAAAGCTAAAGGTTACCAATGGTTACCAAAGGTTTCACGTTTTTTCTTTATGACTGCTGTTCTAATAAATACTCCTTCATAAAAGTCATCGCATTACATTCTTCATTAAATTATCTTTCCATTGCTCTTTAATTTTATGGTATTACTCCACACAAAAGTGGTGTTATGAGACGTCAAACCTCAGAAATACACTTTACACAAAAGGTTTCCACAATTTTGGCCACCAGTATAAGTTGTTCATTTTAAACTTAATGTTCTTTTTATATGGCATCAGAATATTATTATTCTGTTTCATGTTTATATATGTGTCGGAAGCCGCCCAGAGTGGCTGGGGCAACCCAGCCAGACGGGAAGGGTAGAAATAAAAATGTCAGCTTTGTTCCGGAGCTGACTGAGGCTGGAATGTATGAAAGCAGGCAAAGAGAATAAGGAAACTGGAATGTGAGCCGGAATGTGAGAGGGAGGAGGGGCAGCCGAGTGGCAGAGCTTCAGAGAACAGAGAGCAGGCAGCAGATAGCAAAGATCCACAAAATACGAATCTTAGCTCAGAGACAGAAGGGGAGAGGCCAGGAATAGCTAGCCCAAAAACTCGAAGGCGCGAAAAGGTCAGTGAGAGGAGGGGAAAGAGCAGAAGCGAAAGGGTTTTTCCCCCTCTTGGAAGAAGAGGAAGGGGCGGAGTTTAGACTTGGCAACTGCAAACTTGAAGTCAGACACGGAGTGAAAGGAGCTCCGGAGTGATTTATGTGTTTGAGCAATAAACCCGAGATAATTACTGCCAGTGTCTCGCTTCTGTGGGAGAGCCAAGCCATTACAAAAAATTATTATTACTACTACAGTGGTACCTGTTCTGGAAAAAATTAAGTTTGTAAACCGAGGTACCACTGTATCATCCTCATCCTCATCACTGCTACTGCTATCTGAGATTCCATAAGCCTAGCTCTTCTCTGGGATGGATTTTGTTTGGCCCAGTCATGGCATCCCCTCCATCTCCAATGTCAGTCCTTGTTATGGCTTGGTCATGAGACGACTCTGGCTGTTAATAATTTCAGATTTATTGCTAAAACAACAAACTTGGACGGAGCTCCTCTACTCATCGTCCTCCCCACAAGATGGAGTTGCCCGGACTGAGCTCCTCCCCCTTCCCCAGAAAGGAAGCCCCCACCTTCTCTTCCAGTATCTTTCACCTGTCTTGACCAGTTTTCAGACCTCTGAGATTAGACCTCTGAGACCTTCCTGCATTCCAACTTCTGACTCACTCCTGTAGCTCTCACAGCTGTCATTCTGTCTCTGTTTTTCTTCTCCCCTTTGTTCAGAGCTCAGATGACAGTTGCTCTCCCCCTCCTCTCTGCCTTCCGCTGCTAACTCTCCTCTCCCTAGGCCTGCTTCTTCTCTGGCTGGCAGCACCTGAGCTTCGCTGCCAGTCGTCTCTTTGGTCAAACCAAGACTGACAGGAGCAAAAACAAAAACCTGAATCTACTTATCTTTCCTAACAATTCTGAAGCTGACATTGAAGATGGCCTGGGAAGTTGAGACCAGCCCAATTGTGGTAGTAAAAGGAATAATTTGAGGAAGATTGTTCAAAGAAAAAACTGTAATTTACTCTTTATTGTGGGGGTGTTAGGTTCCCAGGTGTTATAGGGGGCGCTGTTGAGCTCTTTGAGAATATATGAGGTTGGTCCCATAGAGGTATTTTTTGAATTTCCAGGCAGATATGATGATCCCACAGGGAGCCTTACCAAGAGAGGCCAATATCCCACAATTCTCCTCCATGACGTCCTTATGCAGAGCTCTCTGGTCAGGATCCAGCAACGCCCACTCCTTGTCCGTGAAACGAACAGCAACATCTTCAAAGCACACTGGACCCTAAAAGAAAAAGGGAAATGTCCTCCTCTGAGACAGCAGAAATATGATCTGCTACACAATGCTATATTGTTTCTTTCCTGTTAATAATAATAATAATAATAATAATAATAATAATAATAATAATAATTTATTTATACCCTGCCCATCTGGCTGGGTTTCCCCAGCCTGAACACTGGGCGGTTTCCAACAAAACACTAAAATACAATAATCTATTCAACATTAAAAGATTCCCTAAACTGGGCTGCCTTTAGATGTCTTCTAAAAGTTTGGTAGTTATTTTTCTCTTTGACATCTGGTGGGAGGGCATTCCACTGGGCGGGTGCCACTACCAAGAAGGCCCTCTGCCTAGTTCCCTGTAACTTGGCTTCTTGCAGCGAGGGAACCGCCAGAAGGCCCTCAGCGCTGGACCTCAGTGTCTGGGCAGAACGATGGGGGTGGAGACGCTCCTTCAGGTATACTGGACCAAGGCCATTTAGGGCTCTAAAGGTCAGCACCAACACTTTGAATTGTGCTCGAAAACATAGTGGGAGCCAATGCAGGTCTTTCAGGACCAGTGTTATGTGGTCTCGGCCACTCCCAGTCATCAGTCTAGCTGCCGCATTCTGGATTAGTTGTAGTTTCCAGGTCACCTTCAAAGATAGGCCCACATAGGGCCAGGGGGGGTCTGGAGTTGTGGGGGCTCCTAACTTTGGAGGGATTTTGAAACATGCTTTTAAATACTTTCTGGACTACGATGTTGACTGTGGAGAATGGGCTGATCTGTGGAGGGGAGACGGAGATATTCTTGGGTTGGAGTCTCCCCGAGACCTGCTCCTCAATGAGAAAGGAAAGAAATTAAGAAAAAGATCAACAAAAGACAAGGTAAAGTGCAGGTATAAACAAGAAGAAGATCTGTAGAAGGGACATGGAAAAGACTTAAGAGCCTCGGACATCATATCACCAGGTTGATGGACTAGATGGAATGGACAGTAAGGACTGACACAACCCGAGACCAGGAAGAAGAGACGCTGGATGAAGATTGGAAGAAAGTTCTTAAAAATTTATTTTGAGAATTAGTGTAAAATTAATAAGTGTTAGGAAAAATGTTGGAATGAAACTATTTGGCTTTAGTAGAAATGATATAATGAGTTATGTATAAATAAGTATTAAGTTTTAAGGTATTTTATGGTAAGATAAGGTTAAAATAAATTAAGGTAAACTGAATGACAGAATATAGTGAAAGATGGAAAGGATTTGCTGAGTTACCGTATTTTTCGCTCTATAAGACGCACCAGACCACAAGACGCACCTAGTTTTTGGAGGAGGAAAACAAGAAAAAAAATATTCTGAATCCCAGAAGCCAGAACAGCAAGAGGGATCGCTGCGCAGCGAAAGCAGCAATCCCTCTTGCTGTTCTGGCTTCTGGGATAGCTGCGCAGCCTGCATTAGCTCCATAAGACGCACACACATTTCCCCTTACTTTTTAGGAGGGAAAAAGTGAGTCTTATACAGCAAAAAATACGGTAATTAATAGGTTTAGACCGTTAAGATAAATTATTCAACAAAATTGAGAAAGATGGAAAGAATTTGCTGAAACAATTAATTAAACTAGAATACAGAAAGGGAGGTGTGAGGAGGTCGATGAAACAAGCAAATGAAAGATAAAGATATGGAATATTGGATGTGTGTTTTAATGTTATTGTTCTTTTTTGCTGTATTGTTTTATTGGTTTTTATGTTTTACTTTTTTATGTACTGTAATTTTTGTGGTTTTCTTTTCTTCTTTTTTCTGCAATTTTTAAACTTATAATAAATATCGTTTAAAAAAACAAAAAAACAAAGATATGCCCACATAGAGCGCATTGCAGTACTCCAAGCGAGAGATAACCAGAGCATGCACCACTCTGGTGAGACAGTCTGCGGGCAGGTAGGGTCTCAGCCTGCGTAACAGATGGAGCTAATAAACAGCTGCCCTGGACACACAATTGACCTGTGCCTCCATGAACAGCTGCGAGTCCAGAATGACTCCTAGGCTGCGCACCTGGTCCTTCAGGGGCACAGTTACCCCATTCAGGAACAGGGAGTCCCCCACACCTGCCTGCCTCTTGTCCCCCTAAAACAGTACTTCTGTCTTGTCAGGATTCAACCTCAATCTGTTAGCCGCTATCCATCCTCCAACTGCCTCCAGACACTCACACAGGACTTTCACCGCCTTCACTGGTTCCGATTTGAAAGAGAGGTAGAGTTGGGTGTCATCCACATACTGATGAGCACCCAGCCCAAACCCCTGATGATCTCTCCCAGCGGCTGCATGTAGATGTTGAAAAGCATGGGGGAGAGGACGGAACCCTGAGGCACCCCACAAGTGAGAGCCCAGGGGTCTGAACACTCATCCCCCCCCCACTTTCTGAACACGGCCCATTAGGAAGGAGTGGAACCACTGTATGACAGTGCCCCCAGCTCCCAGCCCCTCAAGATGGTCCAGAAGGATGTTATGGTCGACGGTATCAAAAGCTGCTGAGAGATCCAGCAGAACTAGGAAACAGCTCTCACCTTTGTCCCTAGCCCGCCGGAGATCATCGACCAGTGCGACCAAGGCAGTTTCAGTCTCCATGATGAAGCCTGAATCCCGACTGGAAGGGATCCAAATGGTCCGCTTCTTCCAGGCATGCCTGGAATCGTTCAGCAACCACTCGCTCAATCACCTTGACCAAGAATGGAAGATTTGAGACTGGGCGATAGTTAGCCATATTGGCAGCATCTAAAGATGGTTTTTTAAGAAGCAGTTTAATGACCGCCTCTTTCAGCGGGTCTGGGAAGGCTCCCTCACAGAGAGAAGCATTCACGACCCCGCGAAGCCCATCGCCCAGCCCTTCCCGGCTAGCTTTTATAAGCCAGGATGGGCAAGGATCAAGGAGACAGGTGGTTGGTCTCACTCGTCCAAGCAGCCTGTCCACATCCTCGGAGGTAACAGATTGGAATTGATCCCACGCAACTTGACTAGACAGGACACTAGCACTCTCCTGCCCCGGCCCTGCTCCCACGGTGGAGTCTACCTCTTCCTGAATCTGAGCGACTTTATCTGCAAAAAACTTTGCAAAATCATTGCAGGAGATCACGTGGCCCATACTGGGCCCCGATGTAGCAGGTGGTTCCGCTAAATTGCGGACCACCTGAAAAAGTCTCCTGCTGCTGTTTTCTGCAGATGCAATAGAGGCGGTGAAGAAAGTCTTCTTCGCCGTTGCTACTGCCACTTGGTAGGCTCGACATTGAGCTCTAACCCGCGTCTGGTCAGCTTCAGAATGAGTTATCTGCCACCAGAGCTCTAGCCATCTCAGCGATTGTTCCCTCAGATCCGTGGAAAACCACGGGGCTGTCTGGGCTCAATGCAATCAGAAAGGGTGCTTGGGAGCCAAACAGTCAATACCCCTGGTTAACTCCACATTCCAGCAGCCACCAGGGAATCAGCTGAAAGGCCATCAACATGGGATAAAGCATCCCCTACCACTCTCTGGAAACCATTTGGATCCATTCAATCTGGATCCATCTGAATCGGTCCCACCTCACTGCAGAGGGGAAGGGTAGCGGAGAAGTCCAGTTGCACCAGGAAGTGATCTGACCATGTCACTGCAACCCCCCCTCCCCGCCCACAAGGCCTGGGTTGCTGTGTGTAAGTGAAACCTGGTGGACAAGCAGCGGCAAGGACAGGCCCATCTGCTTCATCCAACCAAGTCTCTGTTACACATGCCAGGTCAAGTCCTCCATCCATGATCAAGTCATGGATGGCAGTGGTTTTATGAATCATTGACCTGGCATTGCACAGCAGCACCTTCAGGTCATGTGGGTATCCCTTGCTGATTCTAGTATCCGTCCAGTCAGGACCAGAACCGGAGGCAGGGATAGTCCTCAAACAACGACTAAACCTGCCTCCTCTGTAATGACATGCTCTGGTCTTAACATCCACCCCCCCCCACAAAAAAAGGTAATAAAAAAGGAAAAAAGAAACTTTTAAAAAACATTTTAAAAAGAACATTGCTCTGCTCCGAGTCCTCCTGGCCAGCAGCAGCAGCAGCAACCGTCCTTATGAGGCTTCAGGTCCCGCCCTGGGCCAGGTGGTGAGTGGCAGGAGCAGGGCCCTCAGGCACTCACGCAGGGGAGTTGTTTCAATAGGATTGCTTTGCTGCACATTTTATTTATGGATGCTTATTTTATTCTAAGTTTTAATTATGGGAATTCGTCTTTGTGCAAATAGGTTGTACTCCACTTTGTGTTTTCCAGGTCATTCTGCCTACACAAGCATTCCAGTTTGCCTGATGAAAGGGTCCACTTTCTCCTCTCCTTGTGAGCTGTTCTGGGGAGTTCCCTCCCAATGCCCTAGAGCCAAATTCTAGGGTTCATGGGGGCATAGAGCGGGAGGAATGGGGGGCAAATCCCATTTTGCAGCCAATGGGGCTGGTTAGGTGAATCCAGGCCACTATTTGTTCTCATTTGTCCACTGCTTAGAAACCAATCTGAGCATTCAGTGATCAATCTAGAAATCAAATAAGCCTGTTTTGGATGGTCATCTGTCTTGGATAATCTAGCAGAGATTCCTGCATTGCAGGGGGTCTCCTGGCTCTGAGAGACAAGCAGGGAGGGTGGCTTCTGGCAAAAGGAGAGGGAGCCACCTGTGGCTCCTCCTTCTCCTGACTCACCTCTGCCTCTCGACCTTCCTCTCCCACTTGCCTCCTTCCTCTTCTGCCTGTGATTCTGCACTGCATTCTGCCACAGTGTCTCCCAGCTCACTAACCCCTGTAACCCCTTCAGCTTCTGACACCTCCTCTTCCCAGGCTTATCTCTCTTCCCCCTTTGACTTTGACTTCCTTTGACTTCCCCTGACCTTATCTGGTTCCACAGCCGCTGCTTCCCTTCTGCCCCCATGAAAAGATGGATTAGGAAGTCTTCCTGGGATCACTCTGTCACCTGCAAGAGATAAAAGGTAAACAGGACGCCAGGAGTGCCTGCTTCTCTCACAGGTGAAACAGGGCATCTCTAACTACAGGTGGGCCTTTGAGAAATCCTTACCTACTGAGAGCATTTGGACGTTTGTGCCCATTTCATATGTTAGTTGTGCAGAAATACATCTCCCCTCCTCTGGACCCTTGTTCCCAACTGTCTCCCCCCAAAACAAGATGAAAAGAACCCTCAGATGAGTTGGAAAAGCAACAGAATGAGACCAAATGGGGGAAAACCACCTTCCTCCTTACCCAGTGGCCTCTCTGCCTCACAGGAATCCAAGTCCATTTCTGCAAAGAGATCCTTTCCCTGAAAATAAACAAGGATTCAAAACAGAGAATGGTGAGAAATACTAGAAAGAGAATTACAAAGACTTGAAGGGTGTGAGATCTCATTCCATAGATGCTTTCCAAGAAAACAAATGAGACAGCAGCAGACCATTATGGGATGTTCTCCGTCCTGTTTGGAGCCCCTTGGGCGTATCCAGACGAAAGTCTCTCTCACCTGCTTTCTCTCCTCTGCCTGACTCAGGAGGAAACCTTCGGCCAGGGCCACCGCCTGGGAACTGGTCTCCGCTCCGCATTCCCTCACCCAGCTCTCCATCTCCGGGGGAAGGACAGCCAGGAACTGCTCCAAGATCACCAGGTCCAGCATCTCAGCTTTCGTGTGCCTTTCCGGCTTCAGCCACTGGTGGCAAAAGTGGTAGAGTCGGCTGCAAACCTCTCGGGGTCCTTTGGCCTCCTGGCAGCAGAACTGCCTCAACTTCTGGCTCTGCACCTCTGAGCGGAGGGGGTCCACCTCACCCAGGATCTTCTGCACTGGGTTTTCCCAGAATTCTCCACTGCTCCAAGTTTGGTTGGCATGGCCTCTTCCTGCTTCGGGGCCAGCTGAGTCTCGCTCATCCATCTGTGCTCTCAGGAGGCCTGTGAGAGATCAGAAGAAATCCTTTGGTCTTCTGACAAGTTCTGTCTGTCCTAAAGAAAAGCTCAAGGAAATCCTACAAAGCAAATACATTGTTCTGTTACAGAATTTGTAGAACGGGGGGGGGGGGGAATGGTTCCCTGAGCAAGCATGGATGAGTCTTGCTGGGAACCAGGGCTGGACTGCACCGCATCCCAGACCGTGAGCTATCTTTTTGAAAAGAAAGAGGAGGAAGAGGAGAAGAAATAAGTCTCTCGCCTTCTAGCAATGCAAAATGTGGAGGCAACAGAAGGGATTTCTGGGAGATTAATCAACCTGGTTTCTGCTGCCTTCCAGTCAATACATGAAGTCAGAACCAACAGACAAGAGAATCGTTTGTATCTTGTGAAAAATGGATGCTTTCCTCTAATGGGGGTCCCCACCCAGGGGTCCTGAGGAGTTCCTCCCCAAGCTCAGCCCCCTGCTTCTGTCTCCTTTTCTTGCACTTGGACTCTCTGCCGCTCTCCAGACAGACTCCTGGGGTGGGGTCCCTTTTACTTTGCTCTGAGGGCCAGGTATGTATCTGATCAACCCCCTGAGGGCCAAGTGAGCAGGCCAAAGACATCTACCTTGATATTTAGCTGGGTAATTTATTATTATTGTTACTATTATTATTATTACTCTGCTAGATAGCTTAACACCCACACAGCCATTGATACCAGGGTCCTTGGAGGCTCCGTGAGTAGCAGTGCCCATTTCCGGCTGCTTTGCCATCAACAATCCCTTTGGGACAGAGAGGATGTGGTCCTGGGATGCCATGCTCTGGGTGCGAGGGGATTGCTGCAGTGGCCTCCCTGGGGAGCTGCCCTTGGAGACGACTGGGGAAACTGGTCTGCAATGCAGCAGCCAGACTATGGACTGGGATCCCTCTCTTTGTTCCTGGCCTTTCTCTCCCACCTTTCCTTCCTTCCTTCCTCCACGTGGGGTTTTCTTTTTTGGGGGGAGGGGCTAGTCCACCTCCTCGTCCAGCTTTGGAAAATCACTTGCACATGTTTCCTCTGTTGTGCAATGAGGCTGAGCGATGTCACACAGAATTAAAGTCCCAGGGACTCCTTTGTTTAAAGAAGGGAGATATTTTCTGAAGGGGGGGGCGGAGGGCCAAATGAGTTTGGGATCCTCTGATCTCCAGGAAGGAGAGCGTGGCAGACCTGGCCCCTCCCGGATCAGGCCCCCCAGGCATCCTCCCCTGCTGCAGCCCTGAGACCCCCCCCCCGTCTCCCCACTGCACCCTCTGGGGGGGGGAGAGGAGACTCACCAGATCCCAGGAGGGGACAGCGAGGCAGCCCTTGCAGGAGAGACCCCAAAGCAAGGGAAGGACTGGGGAGGGAGGGGCCTTGGCTCTGGAGGACCTGGCCCCTCTTGCTTCCTGGCCTCTCTAGGAAGGCAGCTCACTTCCCTTTAACCCTTGCCAAGCTGAGTCCCTCCAGCTCAGCCCTCTGTCGCTTGGCAGAACCTCAGATTTCTATTACTTTTAATGGATTAAGGGGGGCAGCTGCCTCCCCGGCTACGCCTATGCCCAGATATCCTTTTGGGGGTGAGGCTCTTGGCTGGACTCTGAGCATCTCCCTCCCTTGGCCAGAAACCAGAGGAAGAGCTTGCAGGGAAAAGGGCTTTGCAGGAGGCAAGGAAGCTCCTCCTAGATTTCAGGAGTGGAGAGATAGGAGGGGATCCCAGGGTCATCTAGTCCAACCCCCAGCAATGCAGGAATCTCAGCTAAAGCATCCAGGGCAGATGGCCGTCCGAGCTCTGCTTAGAAAGCTCCAAGGGAGGAGAGTCCACCACCTCCCAAGGGAGACCTTTCCCCTGCCCAACTGCTCTTAGATGTCCTCAAGGCAGCGGGTCCTGAGTTCTAGCCCTGCTGTAACAATCGCACTGGCTGCCAAGGAGGAACCCAGCGAGGTTCAAAATAAATAAATCCTAGTCTCATCATAAATGAGTAATACTTTCTCATGCATGCTATTTAGGCTAATAAAAAAGTATGCCATTTCCCTTTCCAGAAATGCTTGATTGCTAATTACGGTAAATGGACTGAAAATGGATTGTTGTTATTTTTATGTCTAGGGAAGCTTTTAATATTTGATGGACTATTGTATTTTAATATTTTGTTGGAAGCCGCCCAGAGTGGCTGGGGAAGCCAACCAGGTGGGTGGGTATAAATATTATTGTTGTTGTTGTTGTTGTTGTTGTTATTATTAATTGATCAGGTGAGTGTTCTCCTTTCGAAAGAGGCAGGTGGAATCTCCACGGTTGCTAATAGCATAACATTGAAAGGTTAGTGAAATATGGGGAGCCCTAGAGCATCTGCTTGGCATGCAGAATGTCCCAGTCAGTGTACACCTGGGGTCCTCAAACTATGTCCCGTGGGCCGAATCCAGCCTGTCAGGGTCGTGAATCTTTTTTTTTTTTATAAAAATTTTATTTGATTTTCTGCTTTTATAAAGACAAAACATACACAAAAAAAAAACAAAAGACAAAAACATGTATAAAATCAGCAGATCCCCGTTTCATAACCTTGTTCCCTGACTTCCCCCCACCTCCCCTCGTGCATCCCAGTTTCAAGATTATAACAGCAAGTTGATATTTCTCCTCTTAACAATCTTATTCATCTTATTTCGTTTTCATAATAAAAATTGATTTTCATAAGTTGGACTTAAGTTCTCTTCCATCGATTTTCATTTTATCTTAATTGAAAGTCATCTTAACCAAACCTAAAAGTCTTGAGAGTTTTAAAAGTCTCTTCTTCCCTCCCTCCCATCCCCGGTTTTTGTCCCTTCCCAATAAAATCCAAATTCGAGATTCTCAGCCTGGGTTCCTCACGTCCGAGGCTTTCGGATCTCTTTCCGTCCCTCTCCGCCTGTCCTGGTTGGTAGTCCTTTGTAGCAGTTGTCAGATCTGGGAAAAGTTCTTTCACCATCAAGATGTATCCTCTTCCGACAAGAAAATTCAAAGGTAGCTGCTGAAGTATTTCCACAAAGTCTATCTCTTCCAAGTCTAAGTCCAGATGGAGGCCCCAATCATATTTCTTTATTTTAAATTCCTGTATTCCATTTTGTCTTGGGGCCTCCTCCTTCTTCTTCTGTATCTTTCGCAGACTTGTAGTGGATATGTTCCCAGCGTCTCCTTGCTTGTATTCCACAGATGTCAGCTTTTGGTTGTTACTTCCCAGGATTACTTCTTCTTTTTCTTGTTGTTTAGTCTCTTCCAGCTCTGTAGGTATTGTTTCCCAATCAGCTGTGGATTCTTTCTCATTGAGGTCCTCAATACAAGGAGCAGAGTTGCCTGTTCCCAAGGTCATAGTCTCAAGTTGTTTATTCATGGCCAAGCTCTGCTCTTGTAAGATTCCCACCAATTGAAACATCCTTTCGATTTCCACTAGTAACTTTCCTTCCACAGCCATTGTATCCATTGTAGTTTCACAGAGTTCCCCCTAGGGGGAATCTGGTTACTTATTTGCCTTTTCAACAACAATCCTTTAACTGATTGTTATTACTTTGTTTCCAACAGTTTTAACTCAATTATAACTCGTCTTAGTCCAGAGGGATCTTAAATAACAATTTCTCACTTTAAACCGCCCGTTTGACAGCTTTGACAGCTGTCAAACTCCGCAGCTCTAACGCAGGCACAAAGGCAGGACGTTCCCGAGCCCGGGAGGGGGGGTTGTTTAAAACAAAAAGAGGGTTTCCAAAACTCCACTCTCCAGCCCAAAATTTCCTTTAGTTAAATCTTGGAAGTTAGTGTCCTTTTTAACTCACCCCGCCAAGGGTAGGCTCTCCAGCTTAGCTCTTGTGTCTTTGCTTAGATCGTCTGCAAGAGGGGGGTGGGGACTTCCTTTTGGCGCACCCCCCGGTCGTCTCAAATTCAGAAGATAGAAAATTTTAAAGTTCAGTTCCAAATTACTCACGGGTTCTTTTTTTCCAGTCCAAATTTTAAGGAAGGAAGTCAGCGCTCTCCAGTTATGGCTCGCGGCTTCGCTCAGCGGCGGTAGCGATCGACTCTCAGTGCCGCGCCGTCCCCCGTATCCCCTCCATAGCCTTTAAAAAGGCTCTTCGCGAATCAGGGGGGGCGCTTAAGGCACCCGCCGAGTCTTCAGTCCGCAGGCATCTGCACCTGCGGTTTTTAAGGGTCCCCGTGTCGCCGGCACGGCAAAGACCCATCCACCGCTGAGCCGATTCCCTCCGGAGCTCGGAGGGAATCCGCCATTCCCGGATCGCGCCAACCCGGAAGTCGTCAGGGTCGTGAATCTGGCCTGCACGGCCATTTCAGAACCCGCCAAGTGTCCGAGGCTGAAAGCATCTCGCCGCCCGCTCAGTCAGTCCTTGCGTCTCGCTGAGGTAAACGCC